ATTACCTATTTATTTATTTATTATGAGTTTTTCAATGTCTAACTCCTTTGCAATAGTACTTTAAAGTGCCACATGACCTATAGTTGGGTTTAATCTCACTTGCTCCAAGTACTTGTTTGCAAGATAGGAAGATGAGGCTTGCTTGCTAGAATGAGTCCACAAGCAATTATCATGCTCTTTGCTTAATTTCTTGATTCTTTAACATTGTTCATTACTTGGTTTACTTGCATGTATCCTCCAGTCACAACCTTTTGAGCACACTGCAGACACTTTATCACCATCATTTTTTTTTGAATTTTATATCAAACTTTTCCCTTATTACATAATCCTTAAGTGCAAGCCTGAAATCTTTAGCTGATGCAAACCTCATGCCAAGTTTAAGTTGTTTAACACCCAAATCCCTTGAAGGCAAGAATTCTTGGTTGTTAGAGATAGGATGGACACCAATAGTATCACTGTCATCATCATCATCTGAACCAGGTAGGCTTCTCAACTCATCAAAAGGAGCATACACAGACTCCACTTCAGTAAAATCAAAATGTGTTTCATCAATCTCATCAGTAGACTCCACTTCAGCAAATTCTATATATGCTTCATCAATCTCATCATCATCAATTGGAGAATAAACATCTTCAAGATTTTCAAGGTTTTCTACACCCTCTTCCAACTATGGTGCAACAATGTAGATATGGATTTCCTTAACTTCTATGTATGGCTCAAAAGTGAAAAAACATGTTCATTACATGTAGGTCAGACTTCAATTCTTTGAATCCTTCACCATTGGGCATTTTGTAATAAGCTTCATTAATAATCCCTTAACCAACCTACTTTGTTATATCTTGCACTTCAATGTAAGACATTTTGTCTGGATCCACATTGTTATAATTTGCTACTTTTCCTCCTAAGTATGCCATATGGGGTATTTTCTCAAACACACCCCCATAATGCAACCCAATACTGTATAATATATCCATCTGCAATAGAAACCATGCACATAATTAAATAATAGGAACAGTGCACTGTTTTCATACTTTAATATAAAGTAAGAGAAAGAAAAATAAACAACACTACATATACAAAAAAAAAAAAAGGGGGGGGGGGGGGGAGGGGGGGGAGAGAGAGAGACTTTTTCACAACATAATAAATAAAAAATGGACCATTCAACCACCAGTTTCAAAGGAATTAAAAGACCAAACAACGCTACATACTTTGTTGCTTGAATCTTTGAATACAGGAAGGGACCACAAACATAAAAACAAGAAGGAATACAATAAAATAATCAGAATGGTACACATATTTTACTACCATCCAAAATCATAAACAAAACTACAAAAAACAACTTTACTAACCACATTTATTTCAACACATTAAATCAAATAGACTAAAATCATTTACAAAAACCATTTATAGAATCATATATGAAACCATTTACAGACTAAAATCAAATATGAAACCATTTACAGAAAGATTACTTTGATTACAGACCAAAATCATACCCAATATTACAATTATTAAGTGATTAGGGTTTACCCTTGTGCGAACATCTCGAAGATTGATCATCCAGTAATAATGTTGCAATGGAAGGAGTTGCGTTTTTTGAGATTCTATTTCAGAGTCAAACACGTAGAAAGGGATAGCTGAAGCTTAGGTAGTGTTTGGCACTAAAATGGGTCTTATACACAGATGTTTGCCGCTAAAATGATAAAGGGGTAGGTGAGGCTTGTTGATAAGATTGTGTTGTCAATATCCCATTGGTTGTTGAGATTACACTTTGATAAGTCATAGATAAGGTGTCTGTTGTCGACATATCATTGGTTCCTGAGATTGAAACGGCGTCGTTTTAATTAATGGCAATTTGGTAATCTCACTTTTTTCGGTGAGCTACGGTGAACATATATTACAATTTGTCCTTAATTTTCACATTTTAAATAATTTAGGGGGCATTAGTTAGTTTAGGGAGTTTTTTGTTTTTTGCTGAAAGTTTAGGAGGGTTTATTGTCCTTTACCCTATAATATATTAATATATATGTACAAATATATTACGGGTGCGATAGCATGAGAACCCATAGAATACTTACGTGTATCAACATCAAGTGCGGAGATTAGTGGTGGGACACGGTGTCACTCTTTAGTATAACTTTTTAATTATTATTTTTCTTTAGTTAGACACAATGACTAATATACTACATTACAGGAATGACGCTTTTCTAAGTCTCTAGCAATGGTAACTTTTGAAGGAATCAAAATCTTATTCATTTGTTTGGATGTAAAATATTTTTCAAAAGTATTTTTTAATTTTTTTAATTTTTGATTGTCGTAAAATATTTACGAAGAAAAAAAATATTAAAATTTAACAAATATAACTTATTCATCAATTTTTGAAAAGTCATTTTACATGTCCGGACTAACTTCAACCTTAACGTTAACTTTTGTCAAACACCGAAAAAAATATATATAAAAAAATAAAAAATATTTTACGTTGAAACAAACGGAATATAATATATGTGTAAAATTAATTGTAAATAAATCTAAATACCATGTGTTATGACTATCAATGTGCAAAGAAATCTAGTACATATAATTAAAAGTTTATAAACAAAATTTCTTTTTGTTTTTCAAACTCAACTAGATAAGCAAATTCAAAATTAAATACCATTAAGCTCATAATAACAAATAAAAAACCGAATAAAAATTCAAGATCTTATAATCTACCCACTTAAAATAAATTTCGGCCCGAAATTTCAGCACTTATACTGTAACTTTCTCAGTTTTCTGATTCCGAGTCCCATGTTGCTTCTTCACAATGGGACTCTTACTTTACAAGTTATAACTTAACAAAACTGATACTCTCCCTCGTGAGAGTTCTACCCTTTCTTCAGAACCCTAGCCGCCACCGCTATCACCTGCATCTCATACCTTGGAGGGTTTTTGTCTTAGATTGGGTTGTTCCTCACACGTCGGGATTCTATGTTTTTCTCTGTTTCTCAGCGATGGGTTTGTTTCCCTGGGAGTTTTTCTATGGGTGGGCGTCCCTACTCTCTTTCATTCGCCGTTCTCGCCGGAAGGGATCCGGTGCGATGCTGGTGGGCCACTCAAGTGCTTTGACTGATCGACGGATTAATGGCCCGTTTTTGTCGCTTTTTCCTTTTGATCCTAGTATTTTTACTGTTTTTTGTTTGACTTTTTATGTCCTCCTCCTCTCTTACGGGTGTTCTGTTTTTTGTTCTTTATGTTGGCCTTCCTCTGCTCTTCTCCATCCGAGACTCGGCAGCACAGCGTGTTTTTCCGTGGCCCTGGATTGCGACTACTGGATGGGGTTTGTTGGTCCCTGCCCTACGGACGGTGGGTTTTATGCTCAGGTTTGGGGGTTTTCGCCATAAGCCTGAAGGAACCTTTGGTGGCTTTTCATAGCTTTGTTTCTGATGTCTTGGGTAGTGGATTGAATACGTTGATCAGGATTTACCCAGTGTATGTCTATGGCTTTACTTGTATTGATGCTATTTTGCTGAACAGTTGGCCGCATATTGTGCTTCCGATTCCGGCGAGTTCTACTGTGTTGGGTCAGCCGTGGAAGTCAAAGACCAGTACTAGGATTGCTGGTTGTGGTGCCGCCGTCATGACACGTAGCTCCCAACAGTTTATGGACCATGTTTTTGCTTTTGTGTGGTTGATGCTGCAGATTAAGTATTTGCTTGGCAAGGGCCACGTCTTGTGTCAGATGGTTGGGCAGGTGTCTCATGGTTTGTTTTGTGTGGTCAGGCTTCTTCCTCGTTTGTGGTTGTTATGTTGTTCTATTCTTTCACTATGTATTATGTTTCTTGCTTTGTGCTTTGGGTTGGGTAGTTGGTTGTGTATGTTGTATGTTGGGTTTGTGTGTTTTGTGTTGCAGATGCCGTAGGGCTTTTGTCTTTGCCAGCGAACAAAAAAAACAAAAACTTCTGATACCACTGTCTAAGTCTAAGACAATGAAAATACAAAATGTTCACATTTTATTTACATGTCACCCTATAATTCTAATAAGTTAACAAGTGTACGTAATTCCAAAAGATAGGATCTACATTTCCATCAGTAAATTTTAACTCCTAACATCAGTTTAACTACTGAAAAGCATAAAATAAAATCAATGACTTGTACCCACCTTTTATAAAACCAAGTTCAGGTCATAAGAAAATAATTACCATTTTTTTTTTGTGTTTTTTTACTGGTAAGCATGCAATAGTCCTAGAATATAACTTTCGTTTTCAAAGGTACACACATATATTGTTGAAGCAAATGTCTTACCACAAATGTAAGGGAGATTACAAATACTCCAATCACTGTTGGAGCCTAGATTTGTAAAAGAATATCTGAAAAAAAGCCTGAAAAATTGTTTATATCTGATAATAACTCAAAATATATTAATAAAGACTAGTTTATAAAACATATAGAGGTAATTCTTTTTATAATAAGACTATTAATGTGTCTTTAATTCTCTAGACAGACTTTTGAACTACTCACAAAACATTTATAACAACTTCTATTGCCACGATATATTTCAGATTTCCTATAACATAATTACTACTAAATAGACTTCGACTAGACACTTTCCAAGGCACCATTAACTGCCTAAATCCTGACTAAAGTACCTTTAATGATTTGCATCGGACCCTCCTCCTTGAAGAAAACTCATTCTCGAGTTTGAAACAATTTCCTTGAAGAAAACTCATTCTCCAGTTTGAAACAATTTACCACGATAAAAGAAGAACACGAGGAAAGCCTTCCATCCATTCTTCCTTCCTTTCCATACTCTAACTAAACACACTGATCTTTTGTTACTAACAAAGAATACCTTGGAACAAATTTTCAGAGCTCTCTTTAGAAATTCAGCAGATTTCCAAAGCCTGCTTGAACATAGATCAGGAACCAAAACTTTAATTAATCTGAATTTTGAATGAGAGCAACTCCAAGTTAAATGTTGCAGCAAGAAATCATCCCAAATTGAGTCATGAATATGGAATTCATGGTTTTCCAACTTCACCAACAAAGCTTCATTTCCCAAGTTATTATTACACCCTTTTTTTTCCTAAATGAAAGGAGTATATATATAAACAAAATCTTATATAGAAACATATGAGGGCATACCCTCACAAGGGAAACAAACCAAGTCCTAAAAAGGACAAAAAAAACAACCTAGACTAAAAGCAACAGAAAATTACAAAATGTCCTGCAGGTTAACCCCCAACACATCAAGAACCTCCCATAGTATACTTTTAGCTAGCTCCTAAGCCTCGCATTCTTGCTTATCATGTAAACGATTATTGCTTTCCCACCAAATGAAATACAATGTTGCAGTAAGCATAACTCTAGCCATCTTCTTGACATCCTTTCATTGCTCATTTTGAATAAACTGAGTTGCTAATTCGTGAACTCCTAAACCCCTCTGCAAATTCCATCCACAGATTTCAGCCAAAAAACACCATACTTTCCCAAGTATAATCACAATTATAGAACAAATGATCCAAAGTTTCAACATCTCTATAGCATTGATAGCATCTTGTTGCTATATTAAAACCTTTTTTCTGCAAAAAATTCCGAGTTACAATTGCTTCCTGCATAACCAAAACAGTATGAACCGACCATCTTGGCCTCCCCCCACTCCAACATAGACCAGCCCAGACCACATCCTCCAATTTCACTCTAGCAGCTTCCCATGCAACTTTGAAACAAAAAGGTTGAATCCATTTAATCTGATCCACCCCACCTGTTATCAACTGATTTTTAAACAGCAGCAGCAGCTCCTGTGTAGCGTTGCTCAGTTTGTCATCATCCCATTGACCATCTGTAATGAAATCACACATACTAATCTTCTTTTCACGACTCAAGTACCCAAGAATCCTATGGTTAAAAAGTTCTCTCAAGAACCTGCCTTCACACCAAGGATCCATAAATACTAACATTCTGCTCAGTTCCAATAATGTATCTGCAATTGACCTTCAGAAGCTCTCTAACCTCAATAATACTCCTCCAGACAGCTGAAGAAGCAACTTTAGGAATCACATTCCAGTAAGAAGCCTTTTTCAAATAGCAATGTGAAAACCCTGCCACCCACAGCCTGTCCTTAGACAATGAAAAATCCCAATCAAGACTTATTTTCCCGGCAGTATCAATATCTGCAATTCGTCTCAATCCCAAACCCCCTTCCTCTTTGGGTGCAGTAATCTTCTTCCATCTCATACCATGCATCTTTTTAGTATTTTCAACATGACCCCACACAAAGTTCCTCAATCTCCTTTCAATGCAACTAGAGACAGCAATAGGAAGAGCATAGACTGATGTCCAGTACTGAACCATTGGAATAATAACAGCTCTACTAAGCTCCACCCTCCCTGCCATAGACAAATGAAGACCATTCCATCTAGAAGTAATGGAAATAATTTTATCTACCAGGCTTAAACAATCAGCTCTCCTCAGCATTTTATCAGATATAGGTAAGCCTAAATAAGTGAAAGGTAAATTTCCAACCTTACAACCCAAGGACCTGATAATGGAATTCCTTCTTCTAACTGATCTAGTAAGATAAACTTCAGAATTATCTTTATTCACAGCTAGACCAGTAGCATTTTTGAATTGAGTCAACAACTTTTTCACAGTTAACACACTCCCCATATTAGCTCTGATCACAAGTAACAGATCATTTCCCAAGTTATTCAAGCAACCTGAATCAGATGTAATGCTCACTGAACTACATACCGTTGGAAGATCAGTGTTTTTATATTCAGATTGCCCAACTTGAGAAAATGTTGTTGGATGAGATTTATTCTTTGTACTCTCAATAACTGCTGAAAAGATGCACTGAATGTTTTCCTTATAAGGTAAGCATACAGAATAAAATGGAATCTTGTGACCCTCAAAGTGTACTGTTGAGAACCAGTAGCAACTTGCCACAACTTACTTGTCATGTCCTCTACATAAGTTATGAAGCATAACTGTTGGTCTGGATGAGAGAAAGCAAGATCAGTAACACCATTAACCTGAGCATCAAGCTCTAGGTGGTTCCATACATCTTCACCCTCCTGGTAGGAATATATCTGCTGAGTGTTCTTGGAGTATGCAGCACCAAAATGGGTTTCATCAGAACTCCATATCACTCTCTTCATTGATGCAGGATACTCATTAGCCAAAGATTCCTGCAGAGACATTGACCATAATCAAAGGTTACAGACCTTGAAATTTCTCCTTGCCACCAACCTCCCACAATGCGACATCACCAATATTCGTTCGAACAAGTTGCGCTGGATGAAAATCTATCCTCTTGACAGCAGAACCTTGATTCAGATTTCCATCTAGTGTCTGGGGCAAATCATCAGAAGAATATAAATTATGGCCATGGTTCCGGCCAGGAAATGTGATGGGCAACATGTTATTAGGAAAAGCATTGTCAAATCCATGAGGCGCGAATTGAACAGTGACAGCTTCTTCAACTCTAGACAAGTTGCTAATTGCTTCTTTAGATTTGTCCTCTTTTCTCTTACCTACCTTTTTGTCCTCTTCAATCTCAGCTTCGTTGTAGGCTGATTGATCTTCAGTTGTTGCGTTGTTTGATTCAATTACATTACTTGAATTTCGTCTATCCCCGTGCTAATTTCATCATTATGTTCCTCCTCCTTTTTGTCAACTTCTTGAAGAGAGAAAGTTGAGTTTTCCTCCAATGTCTCACCTTCTTCATCTACCCATCCAGCAAGTTCATCCCAAACTGATGTGGCATCCACAAAATCAACATAATTTCCAACATTGCAATTATCAAAAACTAGTGAACTCTTGGCAGACTTGTATCCTGAACCTTCGCAAGTGTAGGATCAAAATACAGGCTCTTAGGCATGGTTCACCACTGCTGTCCAAGTGTTTTGTGATCTGGCAGCACTCTGTTTTGGTCTTCTAGACAACTTATGCTGCTGATTTCTTTTTCCAGTCCAATATTCGCAATCATATGCATTCATTTGTTGATTTCTCTCTCTCCTATAGTGCTCAATCAAGAAATTTGATGTTGCAGATTTTGAACCAACCATAGATTATACACATGCTAAATTTACAAGGCAGTAAGAAAATCTCCAAAACTAAATAATTTCACGCTACATCATTATTACAGAAGGTTTAGAATAATAATGTAAACATGCTAGTCATACATAATCTTTTGGACAGTTTCATAAAATCATTCTAAACCTAACAGGCTAATATAAATCCAAGACAACCAATAACAAAAGGATAAGTAGATAAATACCACTAGACACATGCAAGTAAACAAAGTTCACATAATAGAAAAGACATTTATAAGTCTCCAACGATGGTAACTCTTGAAGGATTCCAAAAAGCTTCTTCACTTAATAAATATATAATATATGTGTAAATAAGTCTATATACCATGTGTTGTGACTATATATGTGCAAACAAATCTAGTACATATAATTAAATGTTTAGAAACAAAAATTCTTTTTGTTTTTCAACTCAACTAGATTAGCAAATTCAAAGTTAAATATTATTAAGCTCGTAATAGCAAATAAAGAACCGGATTAAAATTCAGGATCTTACATGTGTGGCACACCAAAGCCCCCCTGAAGGTGGTCTTTTTTGCTTGGACAGCGGTGTTGGGTCAGATTCTTACGACAGACAACTTGATGAGGAGGGAGCAGACCCTTGTGAACCAATGCTTCATGTGCAAAGCAGCTGAGGAGACGGTTGACCGTCTTCTTATCCACTGTCCGATGGCTAGAGATTGTTGGGATATGCTCCTAGGCATCTTCAGAGTTCAGTGGGTTATGCCCCTTTCTTCGAGAAATGCTCTTAAGGCATGGAGGGGATGCTTTGTGAGAGCACAGGTCCGTGTCGCCTGGAGGGTTGCGCCTTTGTGCTTGTTGTGGTCCCTATGGAAATAAAGAAATAGGACCCCCTTCGAGGGAGAAGGAAACCCATATTAGTGTGCCTAAGTTCTCTATTCTTAAGACTTTATTTTGTTCGATTAGGGGGAGATTTTGTAATTCTATAGGGAAGATAGTGGACTTTGTGGATACTATGATGTCTAAGGGCCCTATTTGGCCCTTGTGTAGTTCCTGGGATGCACTCCCCTTTTGAATGCTGTCTATAATACTTATCAACAAAAAAAAAATACCTATTTACTCCTCCTCTAGGTCTAGGTCACGGGCCTTGTGCTACTCTACATCAAAGCCTAGGGTTCCAATTCTACAACCCTCACAGGTCAATATTATTTTTCAAACTAGATGATACGCACCCATAATTACAGCAAACCTTAGGGAGGTTGGTGTAATTCACCCTAAAGTTTTTTATTACAAAAGCAACAAATTTTTTCCTTTAACTAAAAATCAAATTTAACCCTTGTGGCTTGTAGAGAAGTACTTTTAGGTCCACTGACAAGACACAATCTTTTTTTTTTTTTTTGATAAATAAGCAATTCATTAAAAGCGTTCAAAAGGGGAACGCGTTCCTACAAAACAACAAGAAACCTGGGTACCCTAACGCCCCAGGGAAGACAGAAACTCAATAGTCTCCTCAGCAGAGGAACATAGTCCACCCGAACCCCAAAAAAAAAGAGAGCTAATAACAGAAGATTTGAGAACAATGACCGAAGATTCCTCTCCTTCAAAGGATCTTCTATTCCGCTCTCTCCACAGACACCACCAAAGACACAAGGGTGGCATCCTCCAAAACCCTCGAGCCTGTGCTCCCACCCAACCCCCTCTCCAGGTGTCCATCAAACCTCTCGTAGATCTAGGCATGACCCAGTAAACTCCAAAGAGGCCTAACAAGAGATTCCAACAGTCAATCGCTTCTGGACAATGCAAAAGAAGATGGTCAACCGACTCTCCATTACACTTACACATGCAACGATATGATTTCTCCTTCTCAAATTATCCAGCATCAATATTTTACCCCACGTGACCGTCCAAGCAAAGAATGCCACTTTCAACGGCACCTTAGTTCGCCACACTGCCTTCCAAGGGAATACCGCCCTAGCTGGGTCCAAAAGGCATCCGAAGAAAGATTTCACACTAAACATTCCCCTAGAAGAAGGAATCCAAACAAGAGAATCCCTACCTCCTCCACGGATCTCCTAGCCATACAAAAACTCTAAAAAACCAAAGACGTCATCCATCTCCTAGTCCTGAAAGGATCACTGAAAAAGCATGTCCCAAACCAATCTCTCGCTAACAAGGAGATAGCAGTCAGCCAGCGAGGCATACCTATTAGCTGTAATCTTATTGCCACTTCTCTTTCAGGCTTTCAGAAAGAGATGTTTTGGAAACAGTGCTGCAACACCAACATAAACCAATCAAGAGAGGGTAAACAAAAGGTCGGAAAAATGATTTGTGCATTTAATAGGTTACAGATTAAATATCAAAAAATTGTCAATGGGGGCAGATACTGAATAGTCTGCTGGTCATGTAATTTCTCAGTTGAGTTGCAAACAATTCAATGAATATTACATAAAAATTACAAGTCAGCTGAAAATGCACCAGTTTAGAAGTTGTTTTTCATAGAATGACTAAGGAGTTACAATATATGTTGAGGTCCCAAAGTGTATTGTGAAAGAACTACCAAATCCAACTGTTTTGTCCATGATTTCAACGCAATTCATCCAGAATTCATGCAAATTAAACCCACAAAATAACATATCAGTCAAGCAAAGAGACGACATATGAAACAGAACTTATGCAATGCCCTGACAAATCACAAAATAAAAAATAAAAAAATCAAACAAGAAATAAGAAGTCAGAAAGCTAATAAAAGAAAAACAGTAATCATCACCAATTAAATGAACTCTTTGAGGATTGATGCACTGTTTATATCACATGACAATAAAAGGAAAAGGTTCATGGCAACGACAGTCTAAGGGTAGTTGGATTGTTTAAAGAACTAAAGGATGCAGTGGAACTAAATATGCAGATACTAGAGCGTGTTAGGCATGCTCCACAAAGAAGCATAGGGACTACAAAATGATAAATAAACAATAAAATCAAACAATTTTGAATAAAAAGTTTATAGAGGCAGGGTAGTTCTAAGTTTTCTTCAACTAATGCAATTTAAAAAATACTGTAGTACTTGTTTGCATTTCAATGATGATATGCCACTAAGTCGGCACTTGGGAATATAATCAGTATTTGATACCACATGTGGAGGATTAACCATGATCCCAGACTGCCTAACTTTTAAACACATCCAATCCAGAAAACTAAATGAAGCTACTTCTCCACTCTACCGCTCAAGATTATCCCAACCATGGGATAAAGTATAGGTTGTTACTGTAGGCAGTTATGTACTGACATGGAGGGATCCCATTACAGTTCCACCCCGATTAGGAGTAAAAACCTCACAGAATAATGGCCGTTAGATAATGGGTGTAGGCCGTTATACCAGGAACAATAGAAACATGTCAAGAGCTCATTCCTTTTTTCTTTTTTCTTTTTTTTTCTTTCTACTCTCTTAGCTTCTACTCTCCAAACTCATATTAGACAATGGATCTATTGATCCAAGAGTTAATTCACAGATCTAAACTATTGGGCCCATTAGATATGTCAATTCAGGTTTGTTCCATTCTTTAAGGGGCTTTATTTTTTTTCTCCTTTTTCATAAATACAACATAAATATTCTATGTCTTCATGAATACAAACATAGATTTTATATTGGTAAATCGATTACGATAATCACGAGCCTGAATGCCTTTCTTCTTCTTCCTTTAATTTATTGTATTTATTTTTTACTTTATTTTATTTTATTTTTGTCTTTTGGTGGTGAAGTGACTAAGTCATGAATCAATGAGGTATAAACTATCTGGCTATTTCTTTTCCACAAGTTATGAATTTTAGTTGCATTTTTTAATCATCACTTGTACCAGTTAATGCAATGTTCTTCACAATAGGTGGTACCAAGGACCCAAAAGATCAAAGTTTCAAATGGTCAAAAGGATATTTTCTTAGGTAGATAAGTTACCTAGATCCAGGCATGTGTGTCATGTGTGGGTTTGTGCTCGAAATGTAACAAAACCTAAATGGAAGGATACATCATATTATTTAATATTTTCTTTTATTCTTTAGAGTAAAATAGCATTTTTATGTAACATGATGTTCAAAATAGGCACTTGTTTCAAAACAAAATTCTAATAAAATTGAATTGGTATCTCCATACACTGAAGTACCAGGAAAGAATGGAATGCTTTTTTAGGTACATATCCAACCAAATGTCTCAGACAAATATCTCATACCCTTGCCAGTGAACATGAACCCTCAACCTTTTCACATCTAAGGATGAGAATATACCATTTGAATTAATGGCTCGGTGGTCTCAAATAGAAGGGTAAATTACAGTCATCTCTCTGAGTTATAGCATAATTTAATGACCTCTCCTGCTGATTCAAAAATTACACTGACCTCCCTCATTAGACATTTCTGTGGACAGCGGGGAAATTTGATTTCACCGTTTTATTATTAAAGGTTATTGTGTTATTTTAATTCAAAAGTGGAGTAAAGTGAAAAGGTAATGGTGAATCTGGTCTTTTGTAATTTAATTTTGCTAACATAAGCAAATTATGTCCTTTGACTTTATTGACCATCAATGTAGATAACTAATTTCAAGAAAGCTCAATGTAATTTTTTAATTAAAAATAAAATAAAAAAGGCCCATGTTGTGCTATACCTCATGGAAGGTGAGTCTATTTTTTTGTTAGTATGGGAGGTTAAAGTAATTTACTACTTTCTTTAGGGAATCGTAATATAATAAATGTGTGTGTATGTGTGTTTGGGGGGGGGGGGGGGGGTGTGGGTGGTGGTAAAGTACTGTAGAAGGGGAACAATCATTAAACCAGTACATGACTACAAAAGTGACTTTCAGCATGTGAAATTTATGGAAAGAAAGAGTGTACAAGCATAGAGAGACAAACAAGAATCAATGACACATTAGCAAACACATGCACTAAATCCTTGTAGTGATCTCTTAGAGTTCCTAACATAAAAATTGAATGTGATAAAACAATAAACAGAGAATTGTAGATCTTCTAGTATACCCCTCTGACTTCAATAGCAAAAGAGAACAAGTCTTACAAGCAGTATTTTAGAAGGGAAGTACTGTAGAAGGGGAACAATCATTAAACCAGTACATAACTACAAAAGTAACTTTCAGCATGTGAAATTTATGGAAAGAAAGAGTGTACAAGCATAGAGAGACAAACAAGAATCAATGACACATTAGCAAACACATGCAGTAAATCTATAGTCATCTCTTAGAGTTCCTAACATAAAATTGAATGTGATAAAACAATAAACAGAGAATTGTAGTTCTTCTAGTATACCCCTCTGACTTCAATAGCAAAAGAGAACAAGTCTTACAAGCAGTATTTTAGAAAGGAAGTACTGTAGAAGGGGAACAATCATTAAACCAGTACATAACTACAAAAGTAACTTTCAGCATGTGAAATTTATGGAAGGAAAGAGTGTACAAGCATAGAGAGACAAACAAGAATCAATGACACATTAGCAAACACATGCACTAAATCCTTGTAGTCCTCTCTTAGAGTTCCTAACATAAAATTGAATGTGATAAAACAATAAACAGAGAATTGTAGATCTTCTAGTATACCTCTCTGACTTCAATAGCAAAAGAGATCAAGTCTTACAAGCAGTATTTAAGGGCTGCAGCTGACCTAACGGAACAGACATCCCTTCTAATTTTAGAACTACTAGCAATTTTATGCTCCGTTTGGGAGGAGGGATGGAAAAATAGATGGAAGGGAAAGGAGGATGGATGGATGAAGGAGTCATCTCTAGCGAAGGGATTGTGTAAATCCCTCCTCTAGTTTGGTTGGATGGAAGGTAAGCAAAGAAATGTTATTATCATTTTACCAATATATCCTTAAATACATAAACCAATGCATTTAAATGAGGGTAAGATCGTCTTTTTAATTTTATCTACCAAGCATCCATATTTCTCTCCTCTTCCTCCCACCCACTATTGAATGTAAGCAAAATGGTGGGGCCATCCCTCCTCCCATTATTCCCCTATTCCTCTCCCTACTCACTAACAATGAAAGCATGCTCCACCTTCCCCTTCCTTCCCTCCCTCCTACCAGGCATAGCATTGAGAGATATTAGTCAGTGACTAGCATCCAAGATTACATCCATGGCATGGACATTACCATTACCATTACTAAATATGCGGCGACCTATGTGGGCGGGTGCGAGGCACTGGCAGGCTACCACACTAAGCGAGCTACATGTGCACAATCCTACATCGCCTGGGTGTGGAAAAGGAAAGTGCTTTATGTAGATTCAATCCCTTCTATGACATAACGCATTTTAAAGCCGTGGTGGCCGTGAACCTACCAGAACTCCAGAGTTAGCATGCTTAACCTGGAGTAGTACCAAGATGGGTAACCCCTTAGGAAGTCTCTGGTCTGGGAGCCAAAAGCGAACAATATTATGTCTGAATAAGGTGAGGGTTGTTACAAATGGTATCAGAGCCTCACCCAGCTGGAAGTGTGGCCAACGGGGACGTTGGGCCCCAAAGGGGGTGATTGTGGCAACCTATGTGGGCGGGTGCGAGGCACTGGCAGACTACCACACTGGAAGAGCTACAGGTGCACAATCCCACATTATCTGGGTGTGAAAAAGGCAAGTGCTATATGTAAATTCAATACCCTTATATGACACAATGCATTTCAAAGCTGTGATGACCGTGAACCTACCAGAACTCTGGAGTTAAGCATGCTTAACCTGGATGGGTGACCCCCTGGAAAGTCTTTGGTTTAAGGGAACCAAAAACGAACAATATTGGATAATATTGTGTCTAGATATAGGTGAGGGTTGTTACAAAATACCTTCAACTTAAATTTTATGGTAAATCATACCAACATCCCCCCTTCAGCTTGAATTTTATAGTAAATCATACCAACATCCCCCCTTATTTTTTCTTCACTTCAAATAGACCTCTTTACCATGGGAATTGACACTTACTTATCCAACCCCTGAATTGTCAACAACAAATTAAACCTTCAAGTTGGTCATTAGTCATTTGACCTGAAGGGTTTTTAGAGCCTCTTTCCATAGGTCAGTGGAATCTGTGTAGCTTGTGCTACGCCAGCACAAAAAAAATTTAAAAGTAAGTTTTCAAAAATTGAAATTTCTCCCTTAATGAAAATAGTATAAGGTACAAAATGTCAATCATAGTCTTAATAAGAGTTAAGGCTCCACTGGTTTGAAAGTAAAATGTTGCTTGTGATAGAATTATAATAATCAATAAAAGGAAAATATTGCTAAAAATTTCTTTAAGTGTTTTCCGATGTTTGGTTGCAAAATAATATTCAGTAAAATATCTTCCATAAGATTTCAAAGTACTACTTACCTTTTAGTTCTATTGAGTCATTTTTTTGACATTTGAATTGAAAAGTTGTAACAGAGAACAAAAGGAAGATAATTGATTCGTGTGTCATCTCGTGTTCTAAGGCTTTAACGATAGTCACTCTATGTCAATGACAATTTTCCGACTATGCAAGCAGCAACATCATCTGCTCTCTCTCTCTCTCTTTTTGTGTGTGCACGCGCTCGCCCACGTGATGACATGGGGTTCAGTACCCACACCGACAAAACCTCGTATTTCAACTACTTTGGGAGAAACGAAGGAGCTGAAGATATTGCGATGGAAACGACTAATGATACTATACCACCATACTTTAAATTCTCGGTTAAATTTGCTATACATGTTTGTTTCAACTTATTTTCTCAAAAATCATTACAAGATATTAGTTGCTACAAACTGTGGACAACATTATTATCAACTCTTTAATCATATAAATTGCACTTATCGACTATTAAAAAAAAAAAAACATAAAGTATCATGCTTTATGCATGTAATATTTTTTCAGAATCACTATTTAGATTTTCACTACAGAAAAAATAAACAAATATGAGTAACAAGAATCATAAAGCAGGACCATCATCTCACGTACAGAAACTGAAAAACACATATCCTTCATTTTCAATTTAATATAAAGACAGTCTTAACCAGTAACATTCTTTTGGGGGGAACTTTTTTGTTTTTTATTTCTTCAATGCTGTTATAATATGCACAACGTTAAATGAAGAAACTTCAAAGAAAAATGTCATGAAGACACAAAACCTATATAAATGTTTAACATCTAGTACCTGTTCCTTCAACAAGTAATTGTCTGTTAGATGAATAATTTGGTATTTTCAGTTGGATGAAACCCTTTCTTGAACATCTCTTCAACCCATCTTTTAGCCTCAGTTGTCATACCATGTTTGGAGAAACCATGTACTAAAATTTCGTAAGTCCACTGATTGGGCTCATACCCTTTTTGACATAACCTATTGAATAACTCACAAGCAAGGTCGATGTTATTGGTGCTTAACCTTCTCAACAACATGTTATATGTGTATATGTCTAGTGGGAAGCACTGTTCAATCACTTTTTCTAAGTCCTCAACATCTTGATTCACTCTAATATGATGAGAAAATGTACCAATCAGCTCACCAAGCAACAAATTGAAAGATGTCCCATTGTGCGAACCCTTTGAATGAACCCAAGCCCCATATAGCTGATTGGTCTTCAGAGAATGTACCAATAGTACATTACCGATAAAGGATGATACATGACGACCAACTTCCATCATTTCCTCAATAAGACCAACTACTACATCATATTTCTTATATGAACACAGCAACTGTATGAGCACCTCATAACATTCTAGACTTGGTTTTAATTTGTTCTCCCTCATTTTCATCAAGATTCCCAATGCAATGTCTGGTTTGTTGGCTTTGCAAAGACCAACGATCATGGTGTTGTATAATTTTCTCCTAAGTTTTGTTCCCTGGGACAAATCATTAAAAAAGTTTAGAGCTTCAGAAACTCTTCCGTTCTTTAGATAACTCTGCAACATCAGTATTTCAGAACTCAAATTGGGCAAGATACCATTTCTCCACATCGTCTCGAATACTTCTCTAGCTAGCTCAGGTTTTCCGGCGTGCCCAGCTCCATCAATGAAGAAGTTATAAATCTGACAATTGGGCTCATGACAAGATAGCTGCATCTCCAGCAATTTAAGAAATTGCTTCTCTGGATTCTCCATATCACACAAACAACAAATGACAGCTCTGAACAACTTTCGGGTTGGGCTGTGACCTTTTTCTTGCATTTCTATGAGTAATCTGGCGGCAATATCTCCCCTGTTTGACTTGTTAAAACCACTTATCAAGTTAAAGTAAGTACCTTTACTACTAACTTTACCTGATCTGTTGAGTTGCCCATGTAACAAATAACCATCTTCCAATTTCCTTGCCTTACAAAGAGCCGTTATGAACTTATCATAAATTGAATCAATCGGCATAAAGTTTCTCTCAAGAGCTACAAGAATCAACTCCTTCATCTTATCAAGCTTCCCCTCTCTACACAGGGCATCAGCAAGTATAAAAAAGGTTTTTTTACCAGGGAAGTAACCTTGGTCAAGAGAATTTTTCAACACACCATAAGCTTCATCAATGCTCCCATCCCCAGAAAGCGTATTGATTATATAATTGTAAGCCATGCTACTTGGGGAGAGGCTGAACTCCGCCCTTGTATTGTACAACTGGAGCGCAACCTCCACCATCCCTGCCTTGCAAAAGAAGCATAGCACAGCATTCATGGTGACTTGATCAGGATAAATATTCTTCTCCTTCATCTCCATCAACAAATTGCATACATCCTTGAGTCGGTTCTCCCTCAGAAGTTTGCAAATCAAAGTATTATAACGGAACACATCAGGGACATAACCTTCAAGTGACTTCATGCTCTGAACGAATTCCAATACCCCATCTAGCTTCCCAGCTAAAACAAGATCCGTAATCCACACGCTGTAAGCACGCTCCATTGGGACCACACCCAACTCCCGAAACTCCTCCACCAACCTTGCTGCCTTCTCAAACTGATTATTCTTACAGAATCCATCCACAAGAAAACCCACAGCGTACTGGTTCAAAACCCGGTTGCTACCCACCAACTCACGAAGGAAAAGTTCAGCTTTATCCAACTGTTTCTGCTTGCAAAAACTCTTGACCAATATAGAATGTGTGATATCACTCTCCAGTCCTCGGACTGCAATCTGCTTGGCCAACATTTCAACCACATCAAAACAATTCTCCTCCACCATAGCATTGAGAAGAACGTGGTAAGCGTAGCCATCCAAGTCTATACCCTGAAAGCGCATTCTGCCGAACAGTTGGAGTGCAACCTCAGGCTTGCCAGCAATTGCATAACCCATAACAAGCGTGTTATAGAATCTCACCCTGTGATCATGTCTCCGCTTCATGTAGGTCTCCAAGAAGTCGAGCATGAGAGGCTTGAGCTTGGCCCTGTATAGGATCTTGAAGATGGCGTTGAAAGTGGAGCGGCTATGGTAGAAGACAGGTTGTCGACCTGCCCAGTCGAAGAATTTCAAGCAGGAGAGCACATGATGTTTTCCGTAATTCAAGACCTCCAGCACCAAGTCTTCAGTGAGACGAAGGCCGAGCTGCGAGAGGGCTGCATCAACGGCCTGTCGAGACAACTCCAGGTGGTCACCGAACTCCTCGTTATGAGAGGCCAAGCTTTGGAATATTCTGTCCAGCAATGGCTTGTTTCCAGACTTGAACCATTCTCTGAAAGAATGGACCACGTCCTCCTGTGAACCACCCTGCAATTCTGACCCAATTGCCGCCGCCGCCGCGGACGGAGGCTGAAAGTGATAGAATGGATTATAGCCAATGTTGCTTCTGTTGCTGCTGTGGGCGGTGGTGGAAATGTAGAAGAAAAACGCGGCGGCAGCGGTGGTGTCGCCATAGATGGAGATGATGGGAAGAGGGGGAAGAAAAGCCCTAGGTTTCCTTACACATGCACATCTGAGTGTTAGCATCATCAATCAACTATAAATCAAATCACATACACATCTATCTGACGAGCAGGGACGAAGGCCTTGTTGGCCTCCAGATTCTATTCTAACAATCTAACAATCAGAGTCTATTTAGATCCATTCGCAAATAAAAGATTTGTACATATATTCATCCTCAACATCAATGGAGTGGAGTGTTAATTTTCATTTTTCTCTTTGAATCATTCTGCAACCTCTTCCAACCAAGCCCTCCAATTAATGGTCAGCCTACAACATCATCTTCACGAGTTGTCCCTTTAAAAAATAAATAAAAAAATTGTGAAATATGTCCAAGCACAGTCACGTTTGCTCCTCGATCTCCTTATTATTATTTTTTTTTATGGAGAATACTCACATGAGAGGTGGTTGTTCATCTTGATAAGTGTGGTGGACCAATGAAATTAGAACACCTATTTAAAACATTTAAAAAGTAAAAAATGAGTATTATCCATTTTTAACGGGCCAAACCCCTACCCTATTCTCTCTCTCCCTACACAATCTAATTTTTGATCGGTCCCCAGTGGCTTCTGTTCCTTAGTTTGAATAGATCGTCGGTGTAGGCTCTATCTCTCTTTCATAAGGCTGGCTCCACTGGAGGAATACCGTGAGATTTTGGAGTTCCAGGATTGTACTTTTTAAGCGACCTAACTTTGTTAAGCAATAAAAAAGATATGTAAGGCGCTTTTTCTAGTGAATTCAACTGGAATCAGAAAAAGATTATGTTCAAATGTTGAACTAATATAATCCTTAATTCAACTTTTTAAGTGTGTATTTCATACTTATTATGGTTCATTTAGGTTAACGTCTAGTTGAACTCAAGGAGGACCTAACAAATACATAGTACATAGTACATTTAGGTTACCATAATGTGACTCCTACAAGTGTTGAAAAAGTATATTTATGAGAAACTTAATATAATCAAATCTATATCACTAATCTTTAACACTATCAAACATGTTGTTAGATAAATTAATTACCTGAAGTAATTGAGTGTAAGATATTGTGGATACCCAATTTGTGATTGCTTCAAAATTTTCAGAGTAGTTCATCATTGAAGGAGCTACTGCGGAAGGCATTTCTGTTCTAAGGCTAATATTAGATTCCTGTCAAATATAAATTAGATATTAATTAAATAATAATTACAAGTTTTTTTTTTTTTTTTTTTCGGAAGTTAAGGTGTAATATATAGATGCAAAAACCGTACACAGGCCAAAGCCCAAAGGAAACAAAACAAAGGGCAACACAGCCTAGCAAAAGCAAGGCCCAACCCATCATACAATTATATTCTAGATACCCTAGAATATTGTTGTCTATGACAACCAAACAGCCGGTGTGATGAAAACAGAGGCAGAGCCTCGCTAGATCAGTCAGGCTCAGGCGGAGGCCGGATGAAGGAAGGGGGAAGCTCCCAGTCCAGAGCAAGCCTTCTCGCTAGAGCAGAGTCCTTTACCGGCATCGAGATCATCCTTTGCTTAATCATATCCATGGTGTTTCTTAGCATCTTTGATTGGGAGTTCCTTTGCCCACGAAATATCCGATCATTCCTTTCAGTCCAGATCCGATTAACAATAGTGGAGAGAACAAGTAAGTTGGTCGAAATCTGCAAATTTCTCCTTCGCCAGCGATTTGATGCCCATGCAATGAAGCCATTCCAAGAGAGGTGTGAAACTCGGATTCGGCATTTGATTTGCAAGAACCTCCAAATTGGATTTGTGAATGAGCAAACAAAGAAAAGATGGTCATGTGACTCATCAATTGATTGGCAAAGACAGCATAATCTTGGACCCGAGAAGGACTGGAGAGGCGATTTTGCACAGCAAGCCAAAGGGTGACCCTGCAATGTGGAACAAAAAGGGAATTCTAGATGAGGTGATGCCATGACCTTGGGTGGCTAAGAGAGAATTCTCCATTTGGAGAAGGGATCCACATATCAGCATCCAGCGAGGGGCTTGGGGGATCGATAAGATGGAGATCCGGGAAGAGAAGTAAGAAATTATCCGGAAAATCCCATCCCTCAAGAGTAGCAAGAGAAGAGAGTTTCTGAGCAGGAGCAACTGGAAAGCCTCTGATGAAGCTTTCTGTAACTCGAAAGGAAAGAGGGTTATTCTGAAGCCAATTATCCTCCCAAAAGAAGGTAAGAGATTAAACAGAAAAATGCAAACGCAAGCTACAGATGTCGATGTTCAAATATGTTGAAATTGTTGTAGTTCCAAAAAAAGTTGAACAAATATATAAACCAGAAGTATCACCTGAAATAAAAAGATTAAATTAATTGCTTTGATAAGTGTTGGTTGGTGGTAAGGTTTACTAAGCTCTTTAGACCTAAGAAAAGCCGGCCCTTACGCCAAGTGGATCACTGAAGTTAACGGTTCTCACCAAAATTATTAATACAGAAAATAAAGGCAAAACTTTAACCAAAATATATATCCCCGATAAGAATGAAATACCTGAGTCAAAAAATCAAATGTTCGAGCTCCATCCCTAACTTGCTGCTCTTGTGTGTTACAACTACTGGAAATAGGGTCCTGTAGTATTTATTGAAAAGAAAAAAAAAGAAGTACAACAATAATCACACTTAAATCAATTTAAAAAGTTTCAGAACATACCTCTGTGCCTTTTTGTTTTCTTTTTGAAACTTTGGCAGTTTTGGCATTTGAGTTTTTTCTTCCTCGTTCAAGTGCACCTCTCAATCGACTTCGTGGACGTCCAATCATGGCCTTTCTTTTAACCCCATAAGCTCCTATTGTCACACAATTGTTTGGTGGAGCAATCGTTTCAACTTCTTCATTTCGACCAAATGAACTCTTGCAACCACCTAAATTATTTGGGTATAGGTTTTTCTTCATCTCCTCTAAGTTGTTATGCAACACAAGAGCACGCTTATTTGCATATACAAATAACATCTGATGTTCTGATGCTAAAGATGAAATCTCACGAAAATTACAACACAAATGACTATAGCACTTTCCCACAGACACTTTAGGATTATCATTGACTTCAATTCCATGATAGTTAATCATAATCCTTTCTTTTGCATCTTTTGTCCATCGTTTCATTATATATTAGGACGGAATCCTTTTTATATTTTTCTTATCCTGCACTTTCAATGCATGGCGACATAAAATCCTAATAAAAATGAACTTCAACAGTTTTTGTTGAGGCTTCAAATTTAACCACATGTTCTTGAGATTTTCCAACACAAAGATACTTTATATTCAACTTCTGTATCTTCATTAGCCACTTTATATACATTGTAATCACCTAACCTCATGTACTCGTTCTGGAACAATTCAAAAACTTCCGGGGTATAGATTTCTGCACTATGACGTAACATATCGACATTATTTAATAGCGAAGCATACTTTGCATTATCTTGAAATCTGCACGTAGTTCTTAATATCGCCGATCATTCAAAACCCTCTCATAATGCTCAAAGAAACACAAAAGATCAAGTCCTGGCTTTAAGTAGTTCTTTAACACATTGTTCATGCTTTCACTACGTTGTGTTGTTGTCATGTTCGAGGTGAAAGTATTTCATCCATAAACCATTGCCCATTTTTCTTTTACAACAAATAACTCTTTCAACCATTTATTCTCATTGAGATTATTTTTCCAACATACTATTCCACGCCAATAACCACTCATCTTCGTCTTCATCATTGTATACACAATTTTCAAAATCATTAGCAAATTGATTTGATCTATGAAAGACATGACTCAAATTCTTGGCAGCATTTTGATAAATATGCCAAACACATAGTCGATGTTGCGATTCATAAAAGACATCTGATATTGCTTTTGCCATTGCAGCAAATTGATCTGTAAAAATTGTCTTAGGCTGTTTTCTAAACATTGCACCAAGGAAAGTCTCAAACAACCACTAAATGATTCAATGGTTTTATCATAAAGTAAAACTGCACCAAACACGATTGTTTGCTTATGATGATTCACTTTAATAAATGGTGCAAAAGGTCAACCATATTCATTTGTCCGATACGTACTGTCAAAGCACACAACATCTCCAAATAGGCCATAGTCACTAATTGAGCGTGCATCGGCCCAAAAAATATTAGTAATCGTATCATCCTCATCAACCTATATTGAACAAAAATATGATGAATCCTTTAGCTGCATATTGTGAAAATATTGTAATATAGCTCTAGCATCTCCTTTTTCTAATGTCATCTTTCACTTCCTATGTATGTGATTCTGGTAATCTTTATCTAGAAAACCAAGATGTTCTCTCCCCCCAACTAGGAAGCACAGACACTCTAAAATGGGCGAAGAATCTGTGTCCGACACGGACACTCGTCGGACACGCCCCGACACGTGTCGGACACATCGAAAAAGTGTCTGGAATTTTTTTATTTTTTTTATTTTTAATTTTCGGACACGGCACGGACACTCAGCGGACACGGACACGACACGGACACTTCTGGAAATTTTTTTCTTTTATTTTGAATGCTGATATGTTCTTTTTTTTTTTTTTTTTGTACTACCCTTTTGGTATTGTAAATGGTAAAAGTCCTAGGTCAAATGATAGATGGGAATAGATGATAGTACACTGACTTATTTTTGTATCTTTTTTGGGGACTAGCCTTAAGGTTTTTGTTAATGTTAAGTGCTAACAATAAAGTCCTGAATGTTAAACAGTCATGAATGTTAACAGTCCTTTCTGTCTATGCTTTTGTATTTGGAGTAAAGTTGCAATGATGATTAAATGATACTAGTTATTATTCTAATGTCTTGTTTTTTATTTGGTTTTAGAACTCTGCAACATTGTTCTTTTATAGTTTATTAGTTACGAGTTATGATTTGTGGTTTTTTTTTTCATTATGAGGTTGATGAGGTTGATGAAAAATAGCAACACTCAGTAATTTTTAAAGTACTACATCATATATATATATATATATATATATATATATATATATATATATATATATATACTATTCGCCGTGTCCGTGTCCTAATTTTTTTAGATTTGCCGTATCGCCGTGTCGGTGTCGTGCCGTATCCGTGTCCGTGCTTCTTTGCCCCCTAACTTCTCTACTTATCAACTCCATAGTTGCTTTTATTGGTAATCCTGACTTGTTTTTGTTCATTACTGAGGAAAAAATATTCTTATTCATGATGCATCAATTAATTCAATGCTGGGACATAACCATATTAGTAGATAGATATGTAATATTCATTCTTAAATCTATCCATTAAGAATTTTGTGTTATTGTATCAAACTTATATATATGAAATCACATAATTAATAAGGTGGAATTACTAAGTTGCAAAATTTATCTACATAGTAATATTATTGTTATCTAAGGCCATCATTGTTTGAAAAAAACAAGAAAATTATACACCTTCGATCACCTTCTCAATCATTGATTGGAATAAAGGAATGCAAACAGTTTAAAGAGCAACAAGTACTTCCTAGAGTTACATATGCCGATTCAATCACTGTCAAGAATATTACAAATCACTAAATGCTAGCAATTAATCACTTTCTGTTATTGTCTAATCATATCTAAACATTATAGTACTATTACATTACCATATATATACAGAGATGTGAAATTTGATTTTTGAATTTCAACATCAATCTTCTTCCTAATTTTGGAGTCTCACTTCTAGAAAGAAGATTGATGGGGCTGACAATCAAGCATGATACTAACTCAATTATATTAACCTAAACATTTTTGGGTAAAAAACTAAATAAGAATGCGAGAACAAAAACAAAAACAACATACTCTAGAATGAAAACTCAAATCGATCGAGTATTGTTGGAAATATAAAATTTGAACATACCTGCATTAGGAATATGAACCATCCTTGGAATATGAACAATTCTTACCACGAACAGAGCATTGCATGATTAGCATAAGAGAAAAATGAAGATTAGGGCTTTGTGAATGGTGGTAGGGATGAAGAATTATCGTGGAGTGTGGAGAGAGAGAGTGCGGCCTGAACTCTTCTTCGCTTGCTTATCTGTTGTCCTATGAAGTTCAGTCATTTATGTCTCTTTAAGGTCGGCTGTCAAGAGTAAAGGATTCAATGGCACTACTGTTAACGATCCCCCTACTCTTTGGCTGAGAGTGCCTTTCTTAAAAGAATCATTTTGTTGTTCTGCGTATATTTGTTCGGTTGTACTGTAAGATAGGAGAAAAAAAAAACATACGGTTTAACCCCTAAAAATTGGGTAATACCCATATTTTTACTTTTAAACGTTTTGAACAAGTGTTCTAATTTCATTGGTCCACCTCACTTGGGAGGATGAACTACAACCTGAGGACCCAAATATTGTCCTTTTTGTTATTCTAATTTTTTTCTTTTTCTTTTTTTTTTTTTTTTTGTTAGAAAAAAAAAAAAGAAGAAGAAAAAATCATTCTCATCATCAAAGGTCAAAATAACATTTTATTTTGATTTTATCAAACAAACACTTTTGTCATAACAAAAATTCTCATTTACTATTTGATGATATGTACATCTCATGTCTATCTTTTTTTTTTTTATATATATATATATAGATATTCTTGGTGGATTAGTAGACCAGACATACCAAGTTCGTTGGCATAATTTTCATTAACTAAACTTAATTACTTAATATATCTGGCACACTCAATATCTACTCGATCTACGTACTGACTCTGAACTCACTTTTGGTTTTGCTTTGTGTGGTAGGCTCCTGCCTTGATGGTTGCGGTGTACCACACTCCCTTTTACTGGTATTTTGGTCACTGCTTTGGTGGCATAAGTTTGAGCGAATCAATATTGTCTATGTTTGTCTCTTTGATTGTATACATTTCATATCTAAAAGTTATGAATTGTCACATTTTTTCTATGATTTAGATTGCATGCATCATCAACAATTAACTAGATTATAGAGAACATTTTAACTAGGTAATGAATTTGTGAAACAACTGTATAATGGGTTGGTTGACATGTGGGCAAGGATCCTCTGCAGTAAAAATTCCTGCCATAGCCATGCGATAGTTTTAAAAAGGCCTTTTTACGGCGTCGTTTTGTATATGTAATTGAGCGCCCAGCCAAGGAAAGTGAATATAACTCATTATTTTAATACCGAAACAGTAAATTCAAGGATAAACACTAAGTTAACAGAATTGCCTTAATAATCCAATGGTAATAAAACATAAACAAACAAAATTAGGTTAATTATGATACAAAAATATTCCCTCCATTTCATAAAAAGCGTCACTTTTAAGGAACCGTGACTCTTATAAATTGAACTGTCACGATTTCCGAAACACGACACTTTTCTTGGGACGGAGGTAGTAATATTGATTTACAAACTAAACAGTTTGGGACTATCTATATTCCTTCTCGCGCAAATTTTGTAAGGCATCCGGCAAAGTAAACAACCATCCCTCTCTCTCTCACACCCTCTGCAAATTTTTACCAATTAAAGAAACATTGATCTTCCTATTTCTCTCTATATATATTTTTTCCGATAGCTCGACCATCACCGGGCGTTATTTGGCGGCGAGACATCTAGGTTCATTTTCTCCTAGTTTAAACACATTTGGAAGATTTGTATTAGAAAAGAAAGCTTGTGGGTGGCTTGGACTTATAGGTACCTCATTAAGAAAAAGAGTATTTGGACAATCAAATCTACAGCTTTAAGTTCTGGATTTTGGAGGAAAATGCTCAAATTGAGAGGCATGGCTTGGGGGCTGATCAAACACAAGATATGCTTACGAAGGGATACAATGACGTGGTTGGACTTCCAAAACAGTTCCTAATCCATAAACTTCTTTTTTCTGCTGCAATCTACTTCTTATGGCAAGAAAGCACTACAGGAAAATTG